AGTTTATATGCATAATCCAATTCTGTATGAAGTCAGTCAGCGCCTGTATAGCTCATTGGTTAAATCTCTAACCTTGACACTGAGTAACGCAGGTTCGAATCACTTATGGGGTGCTATTTTCTCCACGGAAGCGAACGCTCCTTACTGAATGATGCTAACAAGCATGAAATCTAGGTCCAGAGTTCATTATCAGTTGACTTCTACCATCGAATACCAAAATATTCCACGGAAGTTAAGACTCAAGAGATGTTGAAACGATTTAGACATTCGAACTACATTCCAACTGATCAGCGGACTGCTTAAATATATCCCACACCACTTTGCGCATTTTATAGGAATAAACAGTCTAAGTATTGATCACTGTGTGTAGATTCAGCTTCTTGAAAGTCTTCCGTCTCTTTTTCAACATGGTATAATCAGTCTGGCTGTCTTCACATATCCTTCTACTCCACCTATTACAATTCATTATTGCGATCACAATTCTGAGATAGTTTGAAGTAGGAAAAATAACAAAAATTATTCAAAATATTTCATTCGTTTGAATAGAAAAATTTAGTTGTAAACAAATAGAAAGGGATACAAATGAATCAATAAACAGTGCTAACAAGCAAAGTATTCAATACTAGAAGGAACTGATATCCATAAAATTAAATTTAAGGCAACCTGAAAGTTGTATATACGCAACAAAGAAAGATGATATCATTGTACCAAAGTAACTGTAATAATTATAGAATTAAAGTATAGCTAGTGTCTTGATAGGTCACGGATATGCAACCAATTTCATGTTGTCTAATCCTGAGTGCAGACAGAATCCTATCGATCATATTTACAATGTGGCAACATGAAATTGGTTGCATACCCGTGACCAATCAAAACATGTAAGCTAGCCCTACAGGGGGCCACCCGCCACCCGAATAGCTCGGTGGTAAAGTCGTTGACTGCGATATTGGGTGACGCGAGTTCGAATCTCAGACGGCACATCAGTTCTGTCGAGGTTGCAGATACGCCTTGCTGACGAGTGCCAAAAAGCACTAACCTAGGTTTAGGGCTTCCTGCTGATTGCCTCCAACTAACTAACATCTACTAGTATAGTTGGTGTAGTTGTGCATGAATCGGTATGGTCAAAAACCCTTTATGACAAAACTTTCACTAAGAAAAGAATTACGAGAATTCTGTGGATTTTCAAGGATCTGAGACATTCACTTAAATTGGCAAAATTCTACTCAGACCATTTCTAATTGTACTTGTGAGTTTATATCTAGTTACCAAAACGTGTAGATAGGAAATGGTAAGTGAAATTTCTCCAGCTGATTCCTTGCACATGTTTCAAAGTGCTTACTTTTAAAAGGAAGCAAAGTTTTAAATGGTGCAACTAACAAATAGTCTATGCGTACAGGACATTTAGTTTAGTTTTCCAAAAGCGAAACATGAATGAGAGGGTTCATCAGTGATTAGCTAAGCTATGCACCTGTTCAACTGGCATAAAATTGTAGACAAACTCCATACTGTACTCGTTCCAGTTCTTCTTCGTAAGTTCTCAAGAAGTATGTAACTTCGGATTGAATTTCCACTGCCGCCTACCATCTGTCTACATCACTACTTCATTAAAGCAAACCTATTTAAGGCAATACGTTTTTTTGTGTTAACTGTTTTCGTTTGAGAAGTCGACCAATGTTTCAGCTTTGTCCACTCTATCGTCAGTCATCTTTATGTACCGACTGACAAAAATTGTGTAGCATATATATTCACTGAATGAATTAAATGTGAAATCTAAATAGCGGCACTTTGAGATCAGTTGAAAGGGTGATAAGCTAACCATTTCACGAACTCTGTCAGTCCTGAGAAAATAACTGTAAAATTGGTGATACAATTTTCTCTACTGTACGTGATTTAATTAACAAGTGTATGACCTAGCTTTGGATAGAAACTAAACTGCGGAAATTTGTTGACCACTAAATACATTTATATTCTTTTCTTGTGATAAAAATCAACACAACCTTTGTTGAAATGATTAGTTTCTTCCTTGAATTTTGACAAAAGTAATAAGACAATTTGTCTGGATCTTGTAATGTCCTAGCGAAAAGCCTGATCATGCATACATGCTATGAGCATTTATATGAAAACTTATGGAGTTCAGATGTAGGAAGACCAACGAGAAGACGATACTGAAAGCTAGAAGAACAATGGAGACGAGTAAATTAAAGAGTAATAAATAGTAGAATAACCTTGGTTTTAAAACCGAATTTAACCAGGAAGACTTAATATGATGACGGATTTGAACACATAAAGGTGGCTTAAATCTAATAGCATACCCGATTTTTTGAAAGAAGAGGCTAGACTGTTGACGGAGAATTCAGTTAAGAACAACCACTAACTGACAGTTAAAAGTTGACGTAAGGTGGAGAGTCCACTTTGAAAAACTGTCTAATCAATCTACCGTACTCTGACGATGCAAATAGCATGATGATAAGACAGGAAACTAATGGTACCATCAGAAAAACATAAGTTTAGATACTTGAAAATTCGAACCCCATTTACCAATCGATGACTCTAAAACAAGTAAAAGATGATGTCATATCCCGACGTAATTACTAAGTCAAATGTACGTGTGGTCACATGTATACAGAAAGGACTCATCGATCGTTGAAAGCAAGAGCAAAGAAGCACATTCTAAAATTACTTCAGAAACAAATAGGGTCACTCCACCGATTAGTGCTGGAAATAAATGTCTAAGACCGTCAATTGCTAAACATATTATTGAAAGGAGACATAAAATGGGTGTATATACATCATTCAAGTCCATCTATGAAGCATGTTAGAAAAATATACTTGAGTTAAGAGGTAGTATTCATCATGGACTGACATCAGTTGGGGAACTAGTGGAAATCCGGGGGCACTGGATAGCTGTTTCGTCCTAGTATGGGACTCCTCGGCAGTACGCACCCACGACCCGGCTACGGGTCGAACTCACGACCTTCAGGTTCCACAGTGAACGCGCTAACCATTCAGCTACTGGGTTGGTTTTCAGCGGTTCACAATTTCCAACTTCTGTTAATTCATAACATAGCTTGACTATCACCCAAGGTCTTCAGTTAGCATTCGCTTCGCTTACGCTCACGCCTTCTCATTAGAGCTTCGTAATATCCATCTGGAAGTAAGTCCCTAATAAGCTCCCAGATTTTCAATGGTTCCCCAACGGATATCAGTTCATGATGAATGCTTCCTCGAAATTAAAAATCTTTATTCATCTCAAAAATACAATACTTAAGTTTGTCAAGGCGTTAGCCATCAAGAGGTTTAGGCCACCTTTATGTATTCAACAACCATTTTTCATCATAACAAACCTTCCTGAACCAAAAGCTACCATACTATTACTTTTTGCTTTATTGATCTCTATTGTTCTCATGACCGATAACAAAGTCTTCTTATTCCACTTTTGTTCATGTTCCTACACTTGAACTCTATGATTTTTCATTTAAATGTAAGTACGTGTGATCAGGCTTTTCCAAATGTATTGCACCAAGACATTACACGATCCAGATAAATTACTTCTTGCTGTTTAAGCACTGATAGCAGCTGTAGTTAGTGTATCAAATGCAGGCGTAATTAAGCATCTATGTATTCTTTTGGTATCTCTTACCAGCCATATCTGAAAACCGAAGAACAATGAGCACTACACTGTGCTTTCTGTATACCGGCTCATCAAAACAAGGATAGGTATTTGAGGGCTATTATAAATAAAGCCGGCTGAAGAGTGAAAGTCATAATTTGTGCGTTATCATGAAGGTCTTGTGAAGACCAGCCTGTTTAGTTAGTACAAAACTGTAAGTGGATATAATGCTTCAAATACATCATAGTATCACTATATTTTGTAAGCTTCAAAAAATATACCTAGTTTAGGATTTGTCCTGGTGCGAACTTGACAGACGCAAAGACCAATCACTAATTATTCGAACTTGTTATATACCCACGAATACGAGACCAAGGAAGAACACGATAGCGTAGTCGGATGGAATAGTATATTTGGATGGTTATGCCAAAATACCGATGCGTTCCAACCAACTGGCTAGAGAGTCGATTACGAGCAGTGCAACGTAACACGACAGCGTGCCAAATGGCGAGGATGCTTGACCGGGTGCCTTCAGCTTATCGAGTCCAGTTAAACTATCAAGGTCAGCATCAATGTCGAAAGTCGTCAAACCCTAGGCTATTGATTTTGGGGAAGTGTGTGACGCTACACTGGCAGTGCACTTCGTTTAAACGACTAAAGTTCTAATAGAATTTCGAAAGTGTAAGCTACTTTCGTCACGTTCTATGACATTATTATGCCTTGTCTGATGATATGATCCAGTTTTGAAACTAACGATTTAAACTGCTGCGCAAGTGAATCAATTGACCATTTTGGTCTATTTCAAACAACCTGCTAAATGTTTAGAAAGCAACAGGGTCTTATATTTCTACAACAAACTTACTGAGTATCCTACACCATTACACCCACATATTTTATTGTTCAATAGTAATTGAATTAAATCTTCGGTCAATAGTCTCACTAATTAGAACTTAATTCTATTGATTATTCAACCGACTGTGTAGATTGATAGGTTAATCAATAGACTAGATGTGTCAGTCGCCAGAGCAGACAGACACGCAAATATATATATACACTCAGGCACATAATTACACACAATGTTTGTGTATTCATCATACTATCATTTGCAAAATAGTGGAAATTGAGCAATGGCTTTGTCTAACTAAATGATAGAACTTAATAGTAAAAAGCTTTGTTCATTAGTTCAAAAATGTCTCAGAATGGTGTGAAAGAAGGTACAGAAGTGGTTAAGGAAGCTGGCAAATATATATATATATATATATATATATATATATATACATACATATATATAACATATTAAATGTTTTACTTTGAGTTGTGATAAATGATTCTTTTGAAATCTGGCTAGGTGCAATTAATTTCCACAGGATAAATTATTTAACTGGTACATATGTCGACTGGAGCATATCATCACGCCATTATCCTGTCTCCTGCTGTTTATGCAAGACACTGTTATCCCGATAATGTGAGTAATGACTCATCATACTGGAAGCATGAAGATGCAGCAAGACACCTGTCCAATCATATTATGAACAAATATCCTAACCTGAATGTCTTATGTTTAAGTAATTCAACCTACTTAAAAAATGAACTATGGTCAAATCCAACAAGAATAAATGCTTGTCTGTTCTCTCAAGCTAGTCGTATACTTTTATTTATACCAGATGATGCAAGTGAGCATATCACCCATTTTACACGTCATTGTCTACAACCATTGTTATGTAATTCACGTGAACAAGGTGGCAGACCAGAATGGCATTCACGCTTTGTCGCTGTAGCTATTGGTAGTGTACAAGTACCGAATCAATTGAACTCAGACATACCATTTATAAATGTGATACGATTTCGTGAAATCGGCTGGTTTCGAGATATTATGGGAATGATGCTACTTGAAAGGTCAATTAAAGGTAAGTTGCTGTTCAGCATAACTTGAACTTTTTGAACGGATATAACAGATTAGTGTACTGGTCATTTAGACTAGAAAAATTTTCTACGTAAGGACTGGAGTTGCCATATTGTTCAACTGACTTCCAGCATGGGCGTACAGGTTCCCAATCAGATCGATTGACAAGTTACTCTGTCAGGCTGTATACTATTATTCTACTGGAATGCATATATGTGATGCAACTTCAAAAAACACTGATTTTTGTAGATGGACGGATTATTTTCGGTAACAACTGTGACTCAAACAAGTTTTAGTAGTTAGATAAAAAACTTTCTGGATGGAATTCTGCTACCAATGAGCATAAGATAGGATATTTATTACAATTTATTTACCGAGAGTGATATATTTAATCTCTTTCCATTTAGGATCTATTATGGTCAGAGTGACTTAATGATGGTATTTTTGACTAGAATGAGGTGTACTGTGTTTTGCCGGTTATAAAGAAGGAAAAGGTTCTTCTTGTAGTTACTCATACATCTTGATGATGAATGCTAACAGACAACAGACTCAAGTTAACAATAGCTTCCTGCCAATTATCTTCAACCATTAAACATTTTTTAGCGTGAATTTTGCTAATGAATTAAATACTTTATCTTTTTCGTAACCTTCTTCGCTATGAAAAAAATCTTTTATTTCATGTCATAGAAATTGACAAGGTAAATAACTAATGACATGTCGCATGTTGGTGAGGTATTCATTATATATTGGTTTCAAAAATGTTATATGGTTCATACTTTTCGTTGTTAGGACTAATCCTAAAACTAGAGTTACGGAGTAGTACAATCTAAAACACTTTTTTTGGTTTTTAGTATATAATTCTTTTTATATCAAACCACCGTTGATTGGACCGAACTGACAGGTCTCTACATCCAGCTGATGAGTCCCAAATAGGACGAAATGCGCATCCTGGATTCCAGTGCTAGCCACTATCCATCATTACTATCATAACAGCACAGGTAATATCGAGGCATCCGCACGGGAGCCCATATGACAATAGAGACCAGTCATTTCGGTCCAATCAACGATGGTATGATACAAAAACAGTTATACTAAAAACTATGCCCATCGCACAAGAAGTGGCTATCGTGACTCAGTGATGTAGTGGATAACGCGCTAGCGCTTGAAGCGGTCGCTCCCAAGTCTGAATCTCGATGAGAACAACATCACGCACTAAGAAGCAGGTTCGTCCAGCTAACGAGTCCCAAATAGGACGAAATGCACATTCTGGATTCCACTGCTAGCCACGATCCATCATTTGGTTTGGTTTTTTATCTTCAAATTGTAGGCAAGCTTAAAGACGTAGACAGTATCTTACCCTAATCAACTAATTGTCTTATGATAATGGAGTTACATACAGTGAAGTGAATAACACAGTACACGTTCAATACTTAATGATGAATGAATCGGTTTGTCTTTTATGTATCCAGCAAGAAAAAAAAGAATAAATGTGGCAATCATTGAGTGAAAAGTAACATGCGTAAATCTCTAAGATAGTGTGGCTGAGTGACTCTTAAGGTGAGCTAAGTATCCACTTGGGTAACTGACCAATTAAGTCTCCTTACTCTACGAGAAAACTACCCTTCCAGTCAGAGTTTAGAAACGTGGTTAGCAGCTTAATTGATTGCTAAGATGGGCTTCATTGGAACTCGTATGAACGTCATTGAAGGGACACAAATTTGTTGTTAGCAAGGGAGTAAGGTAATCAATCGGCCTAAGTTCGACTGTCTAAAGTTCTTTAGTCTGTGTGATGTTCCATATAGACAGAATTTAGTGCCAGATACTCTCAGATGACAAAACTTTATGTGAATACGAATTTATGTAAACTTCAAAATAGGTTCAGCCTTCAAGTGGAATTTTTTTTAACTACACCGAAAAAACATTGAGTGAATATATAAATCTGTAAAATGATAGTTACCTGAACAGATAACTAATCAGACAATTAAAATTGTCCCAAATAGTTTATATGAATCTCGATACCAGTGAAAACTGATTAGGTAAGTTAAGGTACAGTCGAAATCTTGTACTTAGCTGTACGAGTGTACAGTCTTACGTAGTTTCATCTTATCCTTCCCAGACGAGATACAAGGAGAGATCTGTGAATGAAGTGGATACGTTCATAATTCCCATTGTGACATCAAAAACAAGATATTCAGAGAAGAGGACTCTTTCCAGTGAATTTATTCTCAAGCTGTATATTCATAAATATATATGATATCTAAAGACTGTAATCAATGACGAAGATTTAACCTAAATAAAGGGAGGTCAAAACAACAATAATAGTGGTGGTTATAATTATAATGTTGCTAGTTCATGACAAAAAGGTCGGATGATAACAAAAAGGCGTCACATAAGATTTTTAAATGTTTTGTTTAAAGTTGCGATTATTAGGAAGAACAAATGAAATTACGCCGGAAACAAATAAATACAAAAAGACAGAGTGATAATGATGATATCAGAGTACAAAGATTAGTCTGACAAAAAAGGGGAAGGGGTTGCGAACGAAAAAAGAGGACGAAGCATACCAAAACTAAAGTAAATTAAGGCCAAGATAGAGAGAGACAATGACTCTACATACTTCTTCTGCACACAACGGTTAGACTGGCTTCAGTTCATAAATAGCCAAGGTCTCTGCTATTTTTAGAATCTGAACACGGAGGAAATGTGGGGTGTTTGAGCGAATTCGATAGACAACCTTGAAATCATTGTTATCGGTCGGTTGAATGGTTGGAATCGATTAAATGCTCGAGGATAGAACTTCTGATGCATTTCCTTTGACCCTTATAATACGAGGTCGGAATATCTTCTCGTATACGTGTTGACAGCAATCTCTGACTACGGTCGATGTATCTTCCTATCATTCGACTTTTATGTCATCAACTAGAAACATGATAATTATTTAAATATCATCTATATATGAATGTACAGCATAAGAATAAATTCATTGAAAGGAGTCTTTTTCGCTGAATATCTTGTTTTTGAATTAAAATTATGTCCCAAATAGTTTATATGAATCTGGATACAAGTGCAAACAGGTTTTTTGTAATGTTTATAAGAGGTATTTTAACTAAAATGATGAATGTGAAGCAATAGATCCTACACCAGTTTATCCTTCCGTGATCATTCATTAATGTTTATGTCAAGTTATTCAGTTTCACACTGACTCACTAAAATGACATCACGAAGCCAGTATCTTAATTTACAATTCATTATATAAATACGTATTGTGTGAATTTTTGCATTTGGGAACTATTCATACTGACATTTTATTTACCAGATCAGGATATTGTTTTCCTGTTGCTTTTCCTACTTTAATCCTATTCGATGAATTTTAAAGTATCTTGGTCGTCCACATTCACCTGAGCTACAAATATTCTCCACTATTTTAAAATTTTAAAGTATTTTCAATTCACTGATTTTATTACCTGTCCTAAATTGTATTAAAGTAATTGTCGTGTAACAACAAGCTTCAAATTAATTTATTATAGGTATTTATTGTACATATCTTCCACACTGTAAATTTATGTAACTACTTTAATGTACATACTGATGGTCAAATGAAAAAAATCTTCTTGTGTTTGAGCTCGATCTAAGTTTAATAACTCCACTGCTAGCCACTGCCCATCATTACTAAACATAGTTTAAAAAAACTGTTAAAAACAGTTTTCTTCCATCTTGTTTTTGTAATTTATTCACATACTTTGGGTTATTTCAGCTGCATATAGTAGAATGTCTTTCTGCACTTGAGATTGGTAACATCATTGTTCAGCTTTGTATTATCTATTTGTTCAATGCATGAAGCGGTAGATTTCTTCATGTGTATCAATTCATACTGACTATCATTCGAATTCCTAACAATAAATACCAGAAGGATTTCTTAAAGACTTCCATTTTAACTCATCAACTTGTCTGAAAGACAATTGGAAAATTATCGTCATAGAAATCCGACACAGCTTAATAACAAGCAGACATCAGGTTTGTGGTTCATTAAGGCCACTAAACTATTTGCCTACTATTCCAAATTGGTCCATTGCTGGAGAGATGATGTTATTTACAATTTTCCATTGCTGATTAGACTGAATTGGTCCACTATAGTGTCTTCGTTGCCCAGAGGTTACGCTCTGGTGGTTGAAGCGATGGGTCCTGAGTTTGAACCTTGGTGGAAACAACATCATGGACTAAATATACTGAAAAATTCAGTGACGTTTAGGTATACTGCTTTTAAAATTCAGGCTAGTATTTTACCACTTGAAAGGTGAAAATCTTTTTGTCACCTAAATAATGATGAGTTTGAAATTGCTAGTTGCCTTGGTAGTACCTAGTACCTGGATTCATTTGAAGGAACATAGTGAACCCCAAGAATCTGTAGTCAAAGTTGACTGACTAAAGGCACTGTTACACATTTTGAGAAAAGCTTTCTATACGCTTAAAAGCCGTACCACAATTCTTTAATGTCATGGAATGTCACTTAGCACAAATAGCATCCCTGTCATACTAACAATTGAGTCATAAGTCGGACTTGTAGACATTAGATATAGTTTGTATTCGTTTAAGTCATAGTGTGTTTGAAATGAAATAACTCCAACGTTTCACATGGAAGTCGACTTAGAGCTTTTCCAGGGAAATAATCAGAATTAAAATATCCAGGATATATCAATGAATCCAAAGACGTGTATTTAATCTCTTTTCCAATGCTCTTCGTATAGTTATTTTATAATGTAACATCATTCAGTGTGAAATTGTATGTCTCATGTTGTATCGCAAGTGTGTATGTGTGATACCACTCATAATCTTGATTGGAAATATGAGATAGAAAATGTCACACACGACAATGTAGCTATTCGGCAATTTTATAAGTACAATAGAACATAAGTAGTGGATTGTATGTCGTTACAGTTGGTATATAGGGTTAAATAGTAATGGATTTTTCATTGATTTGTCATATTTGAATGGGGATGAATAACA